AAATCCTTACTAATTCCAGTATCAGAGGTAATCCTGCACTCCAAAAATTTCCAGAAGAAATCCAAATATGCTGACCTATCTGCCTTTATAACAAAACATTTCTCTTCCTTGCCAATAAGGTTTCATCTAGAATTTTGCTTTCATGAATTTTGTTTTCTAGAATATGGAACCAGTGTGACCCCAAAGCCTCTCCACTATTGAAAGACACTCAGTGTCTACCTTACTGGCGACCACTCCAGGTAACAATTGAAAGCCCCATTGTTAGGTTACAGGTGAGGGGACTGAAGCGCCCTGAAGAGACGAGGCTGCCTAGGGTCGTTCGATGAGCAAAACAAAGATGGGGGGCTCTGTGCCAAGTCAGCCAAGGCTGCAACTCGCATTCTTTCCATTAAACCGCACACTCTCTCATTGACCTATGATCTCAAAATGCACAGGTCAGAAACACTCAGACAGGGTTAGGGTCTGAATGTGTCCCCCCAGAATCCATATGTTGAAACTCTACCCTGTGAAGGTATTAGGAGATGGGGCCTGTGGGAGGTGACTAGGATTACATGAGGTCGTGCAGATGGGGCCCCCATGGATGGGATTAGGGCCCTCACAGGAATCACGTGAGGGCTTGCTTCCTCTCCCTGCTCTCTGCCATGTGAGGACACGGTGAGAAGCCATGCTGTAACCTGGAAGAGAGTTGTCACCAGAGCCTGACCACGCTGGCACTCTGACCTGGACTTCCAGCCTCCAGAACCGTGAGGATAAATTTCTGCCGTTCCTAAGCCACCCTGTCCATGGTACTTTGCTATAGCAGCCCCAAACAGACTAAGACAGACAGATAAAGTGAAGGAAAGATCGGGGTGTTGGTTGAGATGGACTCTGGGGGGGCAGGGAGCATGAGGGTTCAGCACAAGCGGGAAACGGGAAGCAGCAACCTAGATATTGGAATATCGGCATCTTAGCTTGAAAGTGTCAACTGTAGGCAAATAAGAAATGTGCTGTGATTCTCACCCTGGCGTGTTGGAATGTGGTTATCGTTCACATTGACTAGGGAGCAGTGCAGGCAGGCAGAGGGCAGGGTCCAGGGCTGCTGCACATCCACCCCACACACAGGAGAACTGTCCACCCAGTGGTCAGTGCTGCCGCACCCCCACTGAGATGCACTGACAGTCTGAAGCAGTGATTTTCCAAATGTGGTCCATGGACCAGTTGCATCAGCGTCTCTGGGAGCTTCTGGGAGCGAGACCCAGCCCTCTGGCTGTTAGCCAGCCCTACAGGAGGCTGTGATACACTCTCCAGTGTGAGAAGTACTGGTCTAAGGCAGACTTCGTGTTGGACAAAAAAACACAACTTTCAGCAAATCTGGAGGCCCAAAGTTTGGTGTTGGAGATTTGGGGAACTGAGTATCGGGGGGTCTGGGTTCTCAGCCTAGCTTGGCTCTGAGAAGACAAGTGATCTTGTCTGCATGATTGGACATCTCTGTCCCTCCCTCGGCCACCCCACTCCCCAGCCAGGGAGCTGAGCTGCTTCACTGCTTTCCAGGCTTCGGTTACTCAAAGCAAGCCTTCACAAGTTCCGCCCTTTCTGCCTTCCTCTTAACATCAACTTGCTTCATCGTTGTCTTTAAATGGATCCACTCCTTCACTTATATCAGCTTAAAGGAAACTTTTTAAGTTGGTCAATGGAAAACTAATGTCATTTGCCACCAAGAGAAGGTCACCAATAAAAATAAGCACAATGGTAGCATCTTTGATTTAAAAGAAAAAAAAAAAGAAAGAAAAGAAAGACCATCAAGCATCAAAAGGTGTTGAAGATACACAAGCTCCAAACCAAAATGGCCTTTGGGTTGTAATCAGGAGCATTCAAAGTCAATTGCAAAGGGAACGTGAGTCCGTGCTATTTGCTATCGTGCCGGCACCACCCACGATCACTTTGCTGGGCACCTAGGGTTATTCCCCAAATGGTCACAGGATCACGGTCCACACCCTGGGGCTCAATGGATTTGTTCATCTCCAGGGCTCCTTCAACCATAAAAAGGAAAAGCTATCACAAAACCTAAATCTGCTCCCAACTGGGTCATGGCTATAATGTGGGCTTATTCATAGCAGGAGACATCTCTAGGGACAAAGCATATGAAGCAGAAGTATTAGNCGGTACCACTTCAGGGGACTTCCAGCCTGGAAATATTTCCAGGCAAAGGTGTTTAGTGGCTGAGATACACATAGGAACAGGGACCTTCACTTAAAATGAAATAGGGTTGATGTAACCATAGCAACATGAGCTAAAGACCCGGCTGCCAGGAGAAGAGGAGGAGGTGGTTTGAAGAAGGGGGGAGTCCCGAGCCACTTCTAGATCTGTGCTCAGAAGTAGGCATCCTGTCCACACCACGCTTCCTGGCTGTACCACTATGAGTGAGTGATGGCTCTGCTGTTCCGGTACTAGCCTTGCGAACAAGAACTTGGCCTCCACTGCATAGCCCCGCACACTTGGAGGAGAAGCATTTGAATAACAAAAGTAAACACTGGAACCTTTGCTTTGGTACCAGAACCCGGGTAACACGGATTAAAGACTTGCCAAAGAGAGGATTGCTACAAAGGATGCTTCAATCTATGATTATATTTACATAATATTATAAATGATAACAGATTTGAGACTGTTGAGGTATAAACCTTTGCTGATGGAGCATACTGAATTTATCAACATAGAGTCCATAATGTACAAAATAAATTAATAGGGAACCTAACGGAACATGTTATATTGCAAATATAACATGCGTCTTTAACTCGGTTAAAATAAAATAGCAAACACATAGACAATGCAACAGCAATTAATCATTTGAAAATAATTCTCTTCTTCCTATCCTACTTTTTTTCTCCCTAGCACCCGATATGTTGTATATGAATTTATCACTTTATTGTCTGTCTGTCTTCCCACTAGATTGTAAGCTCCCCGAGGGCAAGACTTCTGTTTCATTTACTGCTATATGCCCAGCACCTAGAATTTGACATATAGTAGGCGCGCAATAAATAAATAGGTGTTGAATGAATGAATTTAAAACAGGCACACATTTAACCGATGACAAAACCGGTTTCTACAATGTCACTTTATACATGATAAATACTTAAGCAAGGTCCTTACTTAACACCTGACTCTCTTCTCTGACGCTTTGCGGGATAAGCCAATGTCCTGGGGTTGCCTAGGCACTTGGTAATACCGGCTTTGGCACCATGGCTATGTCCACCCATCGGCGTATGCCCGGGCCGGCCTCTCCCATAGGAGAGAGCTGCATAGGAGGGAGGGTGAGAGGGAGGCTCACTCCAACATCCCTCTGAACTGCCGCGTGTGGTGCTCAAGCTTCTGGGCCTCGGCCTGGAGGTGCCCCAGCGCTGTGGGGCTGGGGTACTCGAGCACGGCGTGCTTGGTGGCCAGAGCTACGTTCTTGAGCAGGCTGCAAAGATGACTGCTGCGGCAAAGGATCTCATTGCGTGTGTCCCTGTCCTGGGTCTCTTTGCACAGCGTGTCCACCAGCTTCTGCCCCACCATGATAATCAGCTTGCTCTGGGCGATAAAGCTCTCTGGGGGCTGGCTGTGGCTGAGGCTGCTGTTAAAGACGCTGATAGCTTTGAAGAGTGCCCCGAAGTAGAGCCGGCAGTGTTC